TGGGGTCTCATAACAATGTATGTTACAAAAAAAAAGAAAAAATTCTGTATGGGAGACTAACTTGAAATGTAAACTTCATTTAATTACAACAATAAAATAAAAATAAAAAAATAAAGTTGATAGGACTTGCAGAAGGTAGTAAGAAGGTAGTAAGAAGCTAGTAAGCATGGGGAGATCAAAAGTGATCTTTAACATTATTTCATTCAGTTTTGCTCCAGTTAGAAAATTTCTCCGTAATAGGCAATTTGGAAAAATTTTCACAAGTAAAATTTTGCTGAAGATAATTCAAAAATGGTTGCAGCAGTACATCAACAGGGAACTTCCAAATATTCAAGCCAGATTCAGAAGAGGACATAGAATGAGGGATATCATTGCTGATGTCAGGGGGATCTTGGCTGAAATCAGAGACTACCAGAAAGATGTTTACCTGTGTTTTGTTGACTATGCAAAGGCATTCAACTGTGTAGATCATAACAAATTACGGGTAACACTGCAAAGAATGGGAATTCCAGACAATTGTGCTCATGCGGAACCTGTACACAGACCAAGAGGCAGTCGTTCAAACAGAACAATGGGATACTGAGCAATTTAAAATCAGGAAAGGTGTGTGTCAGGGTTGCATCCTTTCACCATACTTACTCAATCTGTTTGCTGAGCAAACAATCTGAGAAACTGGACTATGTGAAGAATGTGGCATCAGGATTGGAGGAAGACTCACTAACAACCTGAGATATGCAGATGACACAATCTTCGCTGCTGAAAGTGAAGAGGACTTGAAGCACTTACTGATGGAGATCAAAGACTTCAGTATGGATTACACCTCAACATAAAGAAAACAAAAATCCTCACAACTGGACCAATAAACAACATCATGATAAATGGAGAAAAGACAGAAGTTGGTAAGGATTTCATTTTACTTGGATCCAAATCAACACCCATGGAAGCAACAGTCAAGAAATCACAAGACATATTGCATTGAGCAACTCTGCTGCAAATGACCTCTTTAAAATGTTAAAAGCAAAGATGTCACTTTGAGGACTAAGGAGCACCCGGAGTCAAGCCATGGTACTTTCAATCACCTCATATGCATGTGAAAGCTGGACAATGAATAAATAAGACTAAAGAATTATTGATATCTTTTAATTATGGTGTTGGCGAAGAACACTGAATATGCCATAGACTGACAGAAGAACAAACAAATCTGTCTTGGAAAGAGTACAGCCAGAATGCTCCTTAAAAGCAAGGACGGCAAGACTATGTCTCACATACTTTGGGCATGTTATCAGAAGGGACCAGTCCCTGGAGAAGGACGTCATACTTGGTGGAGGGTCAGCAAAAGAGAAGACCCTTGTCATGGTTTGAATTATGTCCCCCAAAAAATGTGTGTATCAATTTGGCTGGGCCATGATTCCTAGAATTGTGTGGTTGGCCTCCATTTTGTGATTGTAATTTTATTTTAAAGAGGATTAGGGTGGGATTCTAACACTACCTTTACCCAGGTCACATCCCTGATCCAATGTAAAGGGAGCTTCACTGGGGTGTGGCCTGCACCACCTTTTATCTCTTGAGAGAGATAAAAGGAAAGGGAAGCAAGCAGAGAATTAGGGACCTCATACCATCAAGAAAGTAGTGCCAGGAGCAGAGTGCATCCTTTGGACCCGGGTCCCTGCACAGAGAAGCTCCTAGTCCGGGGGAACACTGAAGAGAAGAAGGCCGACAGAGAGAAAAAGCCTTCCCCTGGAGCTGATGCCCTGAATTTGGACTTCTAGCCTACTTTAACTGTGAGGAAATAAACTTCTCTTCGTTAAAACCGTCCACTTGTGGTATTTCTGTTGTAGCAGCACTAGATAACTAAGACAACCCTCAGCAAGATGTATTGACAAAAGTGCCTGCAATAATGGGCTAAAACATGGCAACAACTGTAAGGATGGTGCAGGACCGGGCAGTGTTTCATGCTGTTGTACATAGGGTCGCTATGAGTCGGAACCAACTCCACGACACCTAACAACAACAAACCAAATTGATGATTCGCTAATGATCAGATACAATAGAGAAAAAAGAAAAAATTAATGGAGTTCATATTATTGTACTTCTAGTAAAAACAGTGATACTGAAATTAGGATTACAAAAATCATTATGTTCACACACTGATTATGCTAACTTAGAAAAACAGGAGTATCATTTTAAATTTAAGCAAATTAAATAATGCTGGAGCTTTTTGATGTGTGAATTAATTTTCTGTAAAGGATACCTAATCCTAAATTTT